ACACACACACACACACACACACACACACACACACACACACACACACACACACACACAGTTATATTTCCATTAAATCATAGGGCATTTCATTGACCTATTTATTATTATTTTTTTACAGACTAACCTTTTTCTCTCTTAAACCAAGTTAATTAAAAAATGTATTGATTTATGGTATGGAGGTTGTTTCTTGCATATCTAGAAGATGGATGTACCAACAACATTGATGCGTAACTAGATTAATGTTCTCGCAACATGAGCAATATAAGTAAGCAGATACAACACTCTCCTCTGTAATGTTTCCAGTAAGGATATAAAATATGGGATTGCGATTTACAGATGCCGGTCAAGAGTGTGTATTTGCATTATAGTGGACATTTGAAAATAAAATTAAGTAAAAATTGTTCAAGTTTTAAATTGCAATTTTCATTAATTTCTCACCAGACTTATATATAACAATAAAGCATACATCAAAATATTAATCATAGTATTCATTACTGCAAAAACACACAGAGAAGTCTGTATAAACAGTAACTGATGATAAACATGCTGGATTCTCTATGAGTCATGATAAATACAAGGGAAAGTAAGGCCCTGATGCTCCAGAGGAGACATGCAAATTAAACAGGCAAATAAATCAATTTTTTAGTTCAGTTCAATGCTAATGTATATATTTTTATTTAAATCACAGCAAAAGTCATCTAATGGCACTTTATATTGTAAAGGAAAGACCTTACAATGAGTCGTAGATGAAGGGAAATTGTCTTAGCATGGTGTGAGGGTAGAATGGAAATCAGATGGGTTGGCAAAATCAAAGCCACTTCAGGTGTTACACTCTGGAGTATGTATTATATATGGTTAAAATACATCAAATGTAGGAATTATACACAGTAAAGACAGACAGGAAAGTATACTATTCTTTCATATGAACATAGTCTGTAACTTTGTTATTACCATATTTTTTGGGCTATAAGGCACACCCAAAATCCTTTCATTTTCTCAAAAATCGTCAGTGCACCTTATAATCTGGTGCGCCTTATAAGGCGCATTGAGCAAAGCAGAAAACAGACCCATTCATCGACAGAGCGCCTTATAACAATAATAATAATAATGGATTGCATTTATAAAGCGCTTTACAATTCCACTATTCAGTCACTCTCACATTCACACACTGGTGGAGGCAGCTACAGTTGTAGCCACAGCTGCCCTGGGGCAGACTGACAGAAGCGAG